TAGGCCGCAATCCACCCGACCTCCGCTGCATCCCTGCGCCCGCTGATTGGTCCATCGCTCGTATTGGTCATATTCGCCTCTTTCTTTGTCTAAGCTCCGCCTTCCCCATAACGGTAGTTGACTAGCTATAACAAGGATATGATATCGCATCGTATCGCGTCGCGTCGCGCCACGCACGCATAAAGATCTCTTTTTCTTCCTTTCCGGATTTGTCTTCTTTTCTTCTCGCTAAGAGATCACATCGATTTATCTAGTCAAATAAATCACTGCGTGTTTAAGCAACGATGGACCTCTTTCTTTACAATGCAACCTATCAAACCTGGATTTGCACTGCGTCTCGCTGCCAGTTTACAGTATCATCTACCAATCTAGCCCGCCATCTCCAGAGACGACATTTCAGTTATCCCAATGCAGCAACACCAGTCCAGCGTCAGACAATTCTCACAACGATACTTCAAGAGCCCTGGATCGATCTGAAGAAAGAGATTTTTCAATATCCATTCCCAAATAATCTACCGATCTCTAATTTGCCGATATTTCGTGATTATAGCTGCCCGCACTGTCAATATGTATATTGTTCAATAAAAGTAATGCGTGAGCATCGACGCAAAAATCATCAAGATTAAGACGATTTCTCAAAACGCGATGAGCAATCTGTCAACCAAATTCAGGCCCGACTGCAGAAGCGCATAACCGATCGAATAATAAGCTATCAGTGTTTTTTTCTTAGCAAATTAGACAGTCAGTTCTTTGAGGTTACTTGCATAGATATCTCTATCAGTCAGAAGTTAGAGAAGACAGCCTCCCTAAAGATCCCGGCCGCGATCATCCGGGCCCGGGTCGAGCAGGCCCTACAGGAGGGCCAGACCGCAACTGAACAAGCGAATAGCCAAATTCCTGCAATTGATCCGCATTCAATCGCAATATCGCTCTGATTGGAGCTCACACGTTGACCCGAATATCTGCGCAGACAGAGCCTAACAGCCGTCGTTTTATTAGATTGCTCGCCCAACTCTACGATCGAGTCTCTGCTCGAGCAGTTTACCGACAGTGTTCAACAATTGATCGATCACATCTTCCATGCGATTAAGGAGGACCGGATCAACAAATTTGATCAGATCCAAATCAACACTTTTTTTCACAGGCCAGAGATCTGGAACCAGCTAATTCAAATCTATTTCCGGCTGACCATCTATCACCGATATTGTCAAATCTGACAACGCCTGATCTGCTTCGCCTATCACAGCAATCGGATCGACCAATCCACCTTGCTTCGTCATCAACTGATCACCGCCCAATTCGTCACATTGAATCAGATGGAAGTTCATGACCAGCGGCTGATCGATCTATCGATCCAAACAAAGGATCTAGAACTGTCGAAGCGCGCGAATCAACGAAAGCAGACAAAAAAAATGTTTGATCAGATCTGTCTCGCGTTCTCTATCGCCTTATTCAACCATATCTTGAAAAAAAATCTCTTCGAAAGTGTTCTAATCGGGTTTCTGGCGATCCTTGGGATCGACGTAAAACAACAAACATTCTTAAAGCCCTACAGCTACATCAGCTATCTGTCCGGGCTCGTTAAAATGGTTTAGATGCTAGTGACCCTACAGGCGATCCGGCTGGCCGAGATTGGCCAAATAACGCACCCGGCCGATGCCCTGGATGAGATGTGCGAACGGTTTCTGATATTTGGAGTGCGTGTCTCGTTCGACTGGATCACGCGACTACAGGTCTACGGAAAGAAGATCCAGAACAGCACAACCAACATGGGCTATATTTATTGAAGTGACAATGAGCAGACGTTAAGCTATAAAGAGCTGCAATTTAATATGTTGGGATTCCGCCAGTTTGTTACGAAGCAGGTCTAACTGGCCCAGATCTAGCTCGAGAGACTCTTTCTTTTGCATGAAAAAAAAATGCGTGAGAAGACCGTATCTCGACTAGCTCCTCACGAGTTGTGGAATGACCCAATTAACAATTAACGCGGATGGAACTTTCTTAAAGATGCCCGCACACGAGCAGCGCTATCAATTATTGGAAAGCGATAATTACTCGATCGAGTTTTCGAGACGAGCTGACTCCGGAATGAATTTCTTGAGCTTTGTCAAATCGACCAAAAAGATCACGTTTTCTGGCGGAAAAAAATCGTAACATGCTATCAGCAAGACATCAAGAAATTTTTTGAACGATTTCTTTTATTCGTCCATATTACCGACGGCCAATCGAGCCGGACGACAGAACTATTCAGCCTTTGTCACAGCAACACTAAACACGGTCGCCATCGAAGTATATTTATCGAGCATGAACTGGTTAGTATGGTCATTAACTATCACAAAAACTATTCAATCAACAATATCACAAAGATCATCCATCGCTATCTCCCGAAAACGGTCAGCGAACTTGTTGTCTACTATCTCTGGCTGATTTTTTCGTTCAGTTAGACGCTCGAACGGTTTGTCTAGAACTATCGACAATCGGGGTCGCCCTATCTTTGGCCTGCAAGAGAAGGCACATGGACAAGCGAGCGGCTGCGAAAAGTGCTACAATAAGAGGTCCAGATCTATCTGAAGACTAAGCTTAATATTATGTCCTATCAGCATGCCGCTATCGCTATTTCACGCGTCCATCTGAAGAGCGGTGGATTTAAGCGCAACTACAAAACAAACGACGCGCCGTTTGACCAGCAGGCGAATCATAGATCGTGGATAGCCAATACAATATACGCGCGTGGGCTTTAGGAAGCTCCGGGCCATATAGAGGCGCGACGGCGGCAGTATCGGGCAGCTAGCCGGGAATGGCATAAATTTCTTGGCTTTAAAGACTATCTCGAGCCGCGAAAACGGGCTGCAAAAGATCGATTAGAGAATATACGAACAAAACAGGCATGTATTTCGATTGAGATGAAGAAAGATTAGATAGATAGATTTTTATTTATAGTATACTGTATTCTACAGTTTATTCTAAGTCTTTTTAATTAATTAGTTTTTTAGATTTCAAAAAAGCAAATAATAGTATACATAATTTTACTTAAAAGATATATATGGATATATAAATATAGATATTAGAGAATCTATATTAATCTATCCGATATAAAACGTAGTTACCCGACAGCGAATTAAATAGAAGAATCTCTAGCAACTGATATAGTATCCTAAAATACTGATAGAGAGCCACGTGCCCCAGTCGCAGCGGGCCGCACGCGAGACCGAACTGCAGCGGTCATACAAGCTGGTCTCGTATCAGCAGCTGTTTCCATCGCGGACCGGCTCTCATTACATTCACATCCGTTTCCCGTACGGCCGCCAGCTGCCACTACCGCCCCCGAACCAGGCGCAGCAGGCGATGAATGCGATAATACAGATCTGGAAACAGACGGAGACCACGCGCGCGGAGGCCTCGGTGGAGACAGCCCAGCTGCACAATGCGAACTCATGACTGCGTGTGATCCGATGGACCGAGTATCTGCGAGAAATCTCCCCGGAGGACCTGCTCCGCAGCGTCGAGGCTCTCGATCCCGATTCCGACCCGGTCGACCCGGTCGAGCAAAGGGTGCGGGTGTTGTTCCACACGGTAGATCAGTTGATCCGGAAGAGTCAGCGAACGGTGCAGCGGTGCGGGCAGGCGATCCGTATGGAGGCAGTATGCACGCAGGCGGGCGAGCTACCGTATCAGTCGTTGTAAACGTATATGGACAAGGCGAGCGTGCAGAAACACGTGCAGCTGTAGCAACAGATTTTGGGCTTCTTCGCGCGGATCCAGCACCCGCACGACTGGGCCAACCCCCCCTACCAGTTCACCGCGCGGCAGCGGGCCCGGTGGACGCGGCTATGACAGTTGATCGAACATCCCGAGTCGCAGCCGGAGCTGCAGGCAGTTGACGAGACGCTGCAGCCATGGCTGCTGAAGCGGCGGAAGCGGGTGTGTCTGGAGTTCTGCGTTGAGCTGCTCAATCAGCGGTACCGCAGCCACGAGTACGAGAGCGCGCTGGTCTGCATGATGACGGTGCTTGGCCGCGAGACAGAGGGCTGGCGGGATCTTGAAAGCTATTTCTCGATCTTCTTCCAGGTGATCAAGCTCGCGCGGTTCTTCGTGGTGGAGAAGGCGCTGTGGCTGGATCCCGCGGCGCTGCAGATCGTGCAAATGTGGCAGAATAAGCAGACCGCGATCCCGTGGGCATTACAAAGCGCAGATGACGAGCTGAAGGCCCTACCCCAGGGGGGGCCGGGCGCCGGACGTCCGGCGGATATCGGGTTGCGCGGATCCGTAGAGCGCTAGGGTCTGGGGGGGACGTCCGGCGGATTTCCCCCTGCCATCCGGTACTTTTGGACCTCCCGGGGTCGGAGCGTCCTGAGACTGGGCCTGCCGGTCTTATGGCCACTGAATTTTTTATAGATCAAGTCTGGAGCCGATCGCCCTTGATTTGAATGAGGTAGAGCGATTCGCAGTGGATGGGTCTCAGGTGGAATTTTTGATGGGATTCGGTCTCGAGCGAGTAAGCGATCGATAATATATATATATTATCGTCTTTTATATCTCTCGTCCCTTCCCCTGAAATGTGACCTGTCCTACCACTGTCGCTACCACGACAACCGTTAAATAAGATAACTGCCAGAGGATGTCTTCTTCTTCTTCGTTTATCGTCTCAATCCTTTACCGTCCCCCTCTCCCCTCCTATCATAACAACGCGAGATTAACCCAACATGGCTGATCAGCTGTTCGAACGCATCCCATCTCTGCGGGTAATCATCTGCCGCCAGTGCCAGTACGGGGTGTGGCCGGTAGAGGCAGAGCGACATCTAAAACGACAGCATCAGCTCGACCATCAAACGGTCCATTCTATCTTGCAGACGATCAGGCAGTGGACTGATATCGCTCATCAAGATCAGACGGTTTCAATCCCCCATGTACTGGATGAGCCGCTGCCGACCATTCCCTGTTATTCGCGTGGGATGCTCTGCCGCCGGGAGCCGGCGACATGCCACTATCTTGTTGCAAACATGAAATCCATGCAGAAGCATTGGCAGACGGCCCACCAATGGTCCCAGTATCCCGAGCGAGGCCGCGTACGGCTGTCTCAGCGCGCCGAGCGCCAGGCCGAGCTGCAGCAGTCATATGAGCTGGTATCGTACCAGCAGCTATTCCCCTCACGAGCCGGCTCACACTACATTCACATCCGCTTCCCGCACGGCCGCCAGCCGTCATTAGGGTTTACATTAGGGTTTACATTAGGGTTACATTAGGGTTTACATTAGGGTTTACATTAGGGTTTACATTAGGGTTTACATTAGGGTTTACATTAGGGTTTACATTAGGGTTTACATTAGGGTTTACATTAGGGTTTACATTAGGGTTAGGGT